CGGGGGACACGCCGAGGGTGATGGGGACGCCCCGCAGGTGATGGGGGGACACAGGGGACACCGCGCAGGTGGCGGGGACAGCGGGGACGCCCCGCAGGTGGCCCCGGGACGGGCACAAAGCGCTCCGAGGCCGCCGTACCACCGCCGGGGGGGGCGTTCAGGGGGTCCCGGGGGTCGCATCGCGCCCCGAGGAGGCTCCAGCGGAGCCCCGCAGCCCCGGCGCCGTCCCCGAGGGTGTCCCCGCGGGTGTCCCCGGCGGTCCCGGGGGTCGCATCGCCCCCTCCCCGGCCGGGCTCGGGGCTCTCCCGCCGCCGCCAGCCCAGGAAAAGCCGCGGCTGCCGGGGCCCTTCCCGCGGGGAGCGCGCCCGGCGCGGCCCCGGCGCGGCCCCGCTCCCCCCGCAGCCCCGGGGCCGCTGCGGCATCCCGGGATCGCCGCCGGGAGCGGCCCCAAGCCCCCCCGGAGCCCCGCACTCACCATCGCCGCCGCACCTTTGTGCGCGTCCCCCCCGCACCCAAAGCCCGGCGGCGGCGGCGGCGGCGGAGGAGGCGCGCGCACGTGACCGGCCCCGGCCCCTCGGTGCCGCCGCGAACGGCCGCGCTCACACACTCAGACACACGCGGTACCCGCGCCTCCATACCCCCACCCAGCCACCCGTCCATCTATCCAGCCAGCCAGCCAGCCCCGCTCCCCCGCACGCACCGCCGGCCGCCGCCAGCGCGAAGCTGTCGGCACCACTCCGCGGGCGCCGCTGCGGGGCCATTGTTTGGGGCGGGGGGTCCCCCGAACACCCCGGGACCCCCCGAACACCCCGGGACCCCCCGAACACCCGGGGACCCCCCCCGATATTGTGCTCCCCCCTCCGACACCCGCGGACCCCCCCAGGCCGGGGGGATTTGGGGGAGGATGCGTTTTTTTGGGGGCAGGGGGGGCGTTTTTTGAGGAGGGTCCCCCATTTTTTGGGGAGGGGGCGGCGTTTTTTGAGGGAGAATCCCCGTTTCTTGCGGGGGGCAATGAGGGTGGAGCTCCCACCTTGTGTCCCCCCCCTCCCCGCGTGGGTCCCCAAGCACCTTGTGTCCCCCCCCTCCCCGCGTATTCCCCCAAGGGGTCTCAACCCCCCAAAATTCCCCCAAGGGGTCTCAGCCCACGGCGGGGGGGCACAGCCCAGCTGCTCCCACCTTGTTTTGGGGTTTGGGGAAGGATTCTGAACCCCGTAAACCTCCCCGAAAAAAAAAGGGGTCAGGGTCCTGCGTCCGGCCGAGCCCCCTCAAGGTTTGGGGTGTCCTGGGGGGGTCCGGCCGAGCCCCCCGGGTTTGGGGTCACCCCCGACCCTCAGCCCCAGCGGTTCCGGGGTGCGGGGGAGCGGCTGGAAGCCCCCAGCCCCATCCCTGCAGATATGGGGGGGGGACGACCCCCGGGACACATCTGGGGACCCCCGGGACACACCTGGGGACCCCCGGCCGGCAGCAGAGCCAGGGGGGTGGCAGGGATTTTTTGGGGGGCTCAGGGCCGGCAGCGCCCCCCGAACCAGCAGAGGTCTCGGGTCACCCGCGGGGGCTCTGGGGACACACGGGAGGCTCCAGCACGTTCATCCCCCCCAGAGGGAGGGACCCCAAATCCCCCCGAGCCCCCCAAATTGCCCCGAGCCCCCCAAAGGCACCCGGGGATCCCCAAAGCGGAGGGGGGCGCGGCCGCTGCCCGGAACAGCCGAGCGCTCAATGGGAGAGGGTGGGAAGGCCCTGGCCACGCCCCCTGCGGCGCTGGCCAATGGCGTGAGGCGGGGGCAGAGAGCCGCTCTGCCATTGGTGGGATTGAAATGCGTGCTTGGGACTCAATGGGGAGGAGGGGCCGGGAGGGGAAAGGGAATTGGGGGGGGGGGAGATCGGGATTTTGGGGCTGGGGGCTATGGGGCGATGGGAAAGCGATTATGGTGAGGGGGGCGATGGGGCAGGGAGATTAGGGGGAATTATGGGGCGGGGGGCGATGGGGTTATGGGGCCATGGTCGCTGTGCCCCCCACCCCATTATTTCCGCCCTAATGAGCGGAACCCCCGGCCCCACCCCGAGCTGTGACCCCAAACCCGCCTCCTGGCGCCCCCATTGTTGTGGGGTCGGTGCTGGGGGTCCCTGGTGATCCCATTGCTGTGGGGTCTGTGCCGGGGGTCCCTGGCGCCCCCATTGTTGTGGGGTCTGTGCCGGGGGGTCCCGGGTGACCCCATTGTTGTGGGGTCTGTGCTGGGGGGTCCCGGGTGACCCCATTGTTGTGGGGTCGGTGCCGGGGGGTCCCTGGGCCGCCCCCGCAGCTGCCCCCGGGCGCTCCCGCCCCGCTCCGGGGATGATTTATGGGGTCGGGGGTCGTTCCCCGGGATGATTTATGGGGTCGGGGGTCGTTCCCGGCCAGATGGGGCTGCGGCAGCTGGGAAGGGGCGCTCGGCCCCACCCGCGCCTTTATGGGGCCGCCCCTCCCCTCCGAGGGCTGCGGGAGGGGACACGGCCCTGAAGGGTTTGGGGACAATGAGTCCTGAAGGGTTTGGGCTCCGGGGATGATTTATGGGGTCGGGGGTCGTTCCCCGGGATGATTTATGGGGTCGGGGGTCGTTCCCGGCCAGATGGGGCTGCGGCAGCTGGGAAGGGGCGCTCGGCCCCACCCGCGCCTTTATGGGGCCGCCCCTCCCCTCCGAGGGCTGCGGGAGGGGACACGGCCCTGAAGGGTTTGGGGACACTGAGCCCTGAAGGGTTTGGGGACACTGAGCCCTGAAGGGTTTGGGGCTCCCAAATCGAGGGAGGGATGTCCCCAGATTAGGGGGAGGTGACAGGGGGCGATGTCCCCAAATTGGGGGGGTGGCAGGGCTGGCGGGGCCCGGCAGGGGGCGCTGCTGCCCCGGTGGCGATTGGGGACAAGGGGACACCCCTGGGGGACACCCCTGGGGGACACCCCTGGGGGACACTGGGGACACTCCTGGGGGACACTGGGGACACCCCTGGGGACAAGGGGACACCCCTGGGGGACACTGGGGACTTTGGGGACACTGAGCCCTGAAGGGTTTGGGGCTCCCAAATCGAGGGAGGGATGTCCCCAGATTAGGGGGAGGTGACAGGGGGCGATGTCCCCAAATTGGGGGGGTGGCAGGGCTGGCGGGGCCCGGCAGGGGGCGCTGCTGCCCCGGTGGCGATTGGGGACACGGGGACACCCCTGGGGGACACCCCTGGGGGACACTGGGGACACTCCTGGGGGACACTGGGGACACCCCTGGGCGGACATTTGGGGACACCCAGGAGCAATTCCCTGATTTCTGTCCCAAAGCCAGGTGGATTTTCCCGAGGAATGGGATTTTCCAGAGGGACGGGAAGGGCTGGAAATAGGGGGGGGAAATTGGGAATAGGGGAAAAAATGGGAATGGGGGGAAAATCGGGAATTGTGCCGGGAAAGGCTCGGAGGGGCCGAGGACAAAGGCGGGAATTCCCGAGGTGCCGGGCCGGAATCTCAATGAGAGCCCGGAGCTCCCTTTGTGAGGGGACAATGGGGACAGATGGGAGCGGGGCCACAAAGGGGTTTGGGATCTGCCGGGGTGGGGAAACGACCCCGAAGGGACTGGGAATGGGGAAAGGGATTGGGAATGGGGAAAAGGGAATGGGAATGGGGAAAGGGATTGGGAATGGGGAAAGAGGGACTGGGAATGGGGAAAAGGGATTGGGAATGGGGAAAGGGGAATGGGAATGGGGAAAAGGGAATCGGAATGGGGAAAAGGGAATCGGAATGGGGAAAGGGGGACTGGGAATGGGGAAAAGAGATTGGGAATGGGGAAAAGGGATTGGGAATGGGGAAAAGGGAACTGGGAATGGGGAAAAGCGACCCTAAAAGGGTTTGGAATGGGGACAGGGACTTCTCCTTTTCCCCCCAAAACTGCACAAGGACACAGTGGATAAGTTATTAATAATAATAATAAATAATGATGATAATAATAAATAATTAATAATAATTCTCAATAAATAAATTAATTCCATAAATATCCTCATGGCACAGAGACGGGGGGAAGGAGAGGGAAAGGTCTGGGGGGAAAAGGGGGAGCCAGTCCCGGGAATTCCTGCTCCAGTTCTCTGGGAATTCTGGTCCCAGTTCCTCTGGGAATTGCGGCTCCAACCTTTTGGGATTTGCTGTCCCAACTCTCTGGGATTTGCAGCTCCGTTCCTCTGGGAATTGCTGCTCCATTTCCTCTGGAATTGCTGCTCCAAACCCCTGGGAATTGCGGCTCCACCCTCTGGGATTTGCTCTTCCAGATTTTAGGGTTTTGCTGCTCCAGCCTTTTGGGCTTTGCTGCTCCATCCCTCTGGGAATTGCAGTCCCAAATCTCTGGGATTGGCTCTTCCCTCCCTCTGGAATTGCTGCTCCAGTTCCTCTGGAATTGCTGCTCCAAAGCCCTGGGAGCAGGGCGGGCACACGGATGGACACGGATGGACACATGGACACAGGGATGGACACACGGACAGAGGGATGGACACACGGACAGACTGACACACGGGATGGACACAGGGAAGGACACATGGAGACAGGGATGGACACAGGGATGGACACAGGGATGGACACATGGACACAGGGATGGACACACGGACAGATTGACACACGGGATGGACACAGGGATGGACGCACAGACACACGGATGGAAACAGGGATGGACACAGGGATGGACAGACGGACACATGGACAGACGGACGGACAGGTCAGACGTCCAGGACGTGGTTCAGGTAGGAGATGTAGCAGATGAGTGGATGGACACGTGGATGACACACGGACGGACGCTGGAAATAACACACGGACGGACAGACAGACGGACAGACAGACAGACGGACGGACAGGTCAGACGTCCAGGACGTGGTTCAGGTAGGAGATGTAGCAGATGGCCAGGCGCAGGATCTCGATCTTGGACATCGGCAGCAGGGATGGACACATGGACACAGGGATGGACAGATGAACACATGGACAGACGGACGGACAGACGGACAGGTCAGACGTCCAGGACGTGGTTCAGGTAGGAGATGTAGCAGATGGCCAGGCGCAGGATCTCGATCTTGGACAGTTTCTTGTCAGGGGGCAGCGTGGGCAGCAGGGACGGACACACAATTCCAAAGGGATCCCGGGGACAATTCCAAAGGGATCCCGGGGTTTGGGGTCAGTTCTGAACTGATCCTGGGGTTTGGGGACAATTCCAAAGGGATCCCGGGGACCTGGGGACAATTCCAAAGGGATCCCAGGGACAGCGGCAAAGGGATGCTGGGAATTTGGGGACAATTCCAAAGGGATGCTGGGAATTTGGGGACAATTCCAAAGGGATCCCGTGGATTTGGGGACACCCCCGAGTGTTTTGGGGCCCCCTCAGGGGAAGCCGCTCCCGGCGTTTCGGGGTCACCCCAGCAGGAGCAGCCCCCGGGTTTGGGGTGCCCGTCCCCAGCTCCCAGCAAGGCCCGTGGGGATCCTCCTCCTCCTCCTCCTCATCACATCCCAGCCGGGAATTGCGGAATTTTCCTCAGGAATTCCGTGCTCCGGGAGAAAACTTCCCCAGGGGATAAATCCGGGCAAGCAGCCGGAGGCATAAAATGAAATCGAGTTTTTTTTCCGTGGTTTTGGGGTTTTCGGGGTCAGGGTGAGGCTCCGGAGCCCTCAGGGGTCAGATCCCGACGGGTCTGGAAAAGAAGGATCGGGAATTTCAGCTCTGGATGGGAAAGGAGCCGGCAGAGGCATCAAAATAAAATAACAAAAATGAAATAGTAATTAAAAATAAAAGGTAAAAATTAAAATAGAGTAAAAGAAGGTAAGATAAAACTTAAAATAAAGTAAAATAATATAAAATAATAAAATTAAAATGAAATAAAATAAGATAAAATAAAATAATAAAATAAAATAAAACAAAACAAAATAAAATAAGAAATTAAAGTAAAATAAAATAAAATAAAATAAAATAATAAAATAAATATTTTCCACAGCTTTTCCCCGTCAAATCCCGTCCACTTTGGGAAACAAACTCAGGGAATTCCAGCTCCCGGAAGGAGAAGGATCCGCGGGGAAGCTGGGGAGGATCGGGAAATTTGGGAAGCTGGGGAAGCTCGGGGAACTGGGGAGCCGAGGCTCTCCGGAGGCGGCAGGTGGCGGATGCGCGGCGGGGGCGGGGCGGGCTTTGTGTCGCAAATGAGCCCCGTCTGTCCCCACGGCTGTCCCTGCTGGCTGTCCCCACGGCTGCGCCCGCTCTCCCCGCTCCCTGTCCCCTCTGTCCCCCCCCGGCTGTCCCCGCTGTCCCCCTGTCCCTCTGTCCCCGCTGTCCCTCTGCCCTCTGTCCCCCCCGGCTGTCCCCCTGTCCCGTCTGTCCCCGTCTGTCCCCGCTGGCTCCGCTCCCGGCAGATGGAGCGGCCGCAGCTGCTCCCGGGAATCCGCAGGGAATCCCGAGCGCCGGGAACGCGCCCCGCCCCCTGCTCATCATCATCCTGCTCCTCTTCTTCCTCACCCTCATCATCCTCATTCCCATCCTCAACTTCTTCTTCATCATATTCTGCACCTTCATCCTCCTCCTCCTCTTTATCTTATCTTTATCTTTATCTATCTTCATCCTCCTCCTCTTCTTCCTCATCATCCTCATTCCCATCCTTAACTTCTTCTTCATCCTCATCTTCTTCATCCTCATCCTCCCCCTCATCTTTATCTTATCTTCATCCTCCTCCTCATCTTCATCCCCGCTGCCTTCCCTGGAAATCCGGGAGCGTCCCGGGAAAGGGGGAGAAACTTTGGAGGGGGAAAACGGCTGGGAATGAGCTGGGAATGAGCTGGGAATGCTCCTCTCCTTTCCTTCCTCCTCCTCATCCTCATCCCCGCCTGCCGCACCCGGAAATCTGGGAATGCCACAGGGAAAAACTTTGGAATGGGAAAAGCGGCTGGGAACGGATCCCAAATCCCACCGGGGCAGGGCAGGAACGGCCGCGATCCCGATTTTTATAAAGGCTGGGATGGTGGGAATTTGTTCCCCCCCAAAAATCCGGGAAGAGCCGCCCGACAGCTCCCAAAATCCCGAGAGGGGTGGGGTTTTCCTCATTGAATCTCCCGAATTTCTTCGGGAATTCGGATGTTCGGGATCACCCCTGGGAGTCCTCGGCTCGGCTTCACTGGGAATTTGGGGATTTGGGAATTTGGCCCCTTAAGCTGCCCTGTGAATCTGGGATTCCCGGGAATTTGGGGTGGATCCCACACCAGGAGGGGAAGCAGGAGACTTTTTTTGGGAAAACTCAAGTTTCATTCCCGGATTCAAGCAAACTCCCGGCCTGGGTTATCCCGGAGCTTTTCCTTGGAGCGGAATTCCTGCTCCCAGCGCCTCTTTTCCCTTTCTTTTTTTTTGGGGGGAAAAACTGCCCAATTCCTGGTCAGCCTCCACTTCTCCCAGAAAAACCTCGGGAATTCTTCCCACCTCCTCCCTCGCCCTTTTCCTCCCATTCCCGACCCGTGGAGTGACGAAATTCCCGACAATTTTCCTTGGAAACCAAACATGTCCAGGACAATTCCAGGCGGGTTCTTTTCCTTTTCCCCGCTCCCAAACCCTCTCAGGAAAAATCCTTTTTCCAAAGGGATTTGGGAGCCAAACCTGGCCGTGGGATAGAGCCTTTTTCCCGGGAATCTGGGGCCGGATTCCCGCCCGGATCCGGGTTTTTTTGAGCCATTCCCGATCCCTGGAAGAGCCGCCTTACCCCGAGTCCCGCAGCATTCCCAGGCTCCGGGGTTTCTCCTCCCGGTACTCCCAGGGTTTGGAACCCGCTCTGCTCATCCATCCATGGAGGAAGGGAAAAACTTTCCCTGGATTCTCCCGATGGTCCCGCGACGGATCCGGGATGGGAATCCGGGATCAATCCCGGAATTCCCGGGGCGGCAGAGCCGCTCCGGAGCCTCCGAGGAGGAAATTCGCCGCTCCCCCTAAAAATTCCCAATTTATCCACCCTGGGCCCGACCCCGGGAGCCTCATTGGCCTCTCCCGCTCCCCCTCCCTTTTCCCTCATAAATATGGAAAACCGGGAATTCGGGATTCCATTGGCTGCGCGGAGCCCCCCGGGAGGGGCGCGCTGGATGCGGGCCGGGAAAAGGCGACAGCTGCTCCCGGTGCTCCTTTCCAGCGGGAATTCGGGCCGGGAAAAGGGGGAAAAAGAGCCCGGAGCGGAATTCCCGGTCCCGAAAATTGGGGAAAGGGAACCTGGAGCGGCATTCCCGGTCCCGAAAATTGGGAAAGGGGAGTCTGGAGAGGAATTCCCGGCCTCGGGAAACTCGGGGAAAGGAACTCGGGAGCCTGGAGCGGAATTCCCGGTGCTTCCCGAGGCTCTGGAGCCCCCGGGTGATCCCTGAGGACGGTGTGGGTCCCCTTGGGGTCACCCAGAGGCTCCATCCCATAAATCCCGCCTGGAAAATTCACCTGTGGTGGAGAGGGAAAAGGGAAAGGGACGAACCCGGGGAAAACCCGGGAATATCTCGGGAACAGCCCGGGAAGAGCCGGGAATGCGACCCCGAGTCCAGCCGGGACACAGCGACCTTTGGGGCCGGCTCTGCTGTCGCCTTTCTGGGATTGTCCCAGTTCAGCTCCGGGAAAATCGGGAAAAATCGGGGAAAATCGAGAAAATCGGGAAATGCGGGAAATGCGCTGCAGCTCCAGGGAGATCCCAGCGCCCCCGTCCCGCTTTTGGGATCCGCCCGGGATCTCCCCGCCCCGCCAGGGCCGCGCTCGGGATCCCCCCCGCGCGTCCCGGGACTTCTGGGTCCCCTGTCCCCATGCCCTATTCCCTGTCACTGCTCTGTCCCCGCTGTGTACCCGCTGTCCCCGCTCTGTCCCCGCTCTATCCCCGCTCTGCCCCCTCTCTATCCCGCTCTATCCCCTCTCTATCCCCGCTCTGCCCCCTCTCTATCCCCGCTCTGTCCCCGCTCTATCCCCGCTGTCCCCGCTGTGTCCCCGCTGTCCCCGCTCGCTGCCATGGCGATGCTGGCGGTGCTGGCGGTGCTGGCCCTGGCTCTGTCCCCGCCGCTGTCGCCAGCTGAGCCCCGCGTGTCGCCGCCCGCGGCTCCGGGGCCGTTCCGGGAGCAGCTGCGAGCGCGGCGGGCGCGGAGCCCGGGCTGGGGCCGGGGACAGCGACAGCGACAGCAGAGGGGACAGGAGAGGGACAGCGACAGGAGAGGGGACACGAGAGGGGACAGGAGAGGGGACACGAGAGGGGACAGCGACAGGAGAGGGGACAGGGACCGGAAAGGGGGACAGGGACAGGAACGAGAGAGGGGATAGGGACAGGAGAGGGGACACTGACAGGAGAGGGGACGGGGACAGGGAGCGGCCCCGGGTCTGGGGACAGCGGCAAGGGACGGGGGACGGGGACAGGGAATGCAAGGGGACAGAGCCCGGAGCGGCTCCCGGAGCATTCCCGGCGCAGCCGCATCCCAAATCCCCATCCCAAATCCTCATCCCACATTCCCGAATCCCCTCCCCGCCACCCCGAGGGGATTTTTTGGGATCGTTCCCGGCCCCTCCCGCATCCATCACTCCCCATCCCAAATCCCGAATCCCAAATCCCAAATCCACATCCATCACCCAGAATCCCGAATCCCACATCCCACAGCCACATCCATCACCCCGAATCCCAAATCCCGAATCCCAAATCCACATCCATCACCCCAAACCCCACATTCCCATCCCGAATCCCCTCCCCGCCGCCCCGAGGGGATTTTTTGGGATCGTTCCCGGCGCGGCCGCAGCTGAGGCCGCGGGCTCCGGGCGCGATTCCAGCCGGGAATGAGGCGGGAGCGAGCGGAGCCTCCCCCGCCTGCCAGCGCTTCCCGCCGGGAATTCCGCTGCTCCTGGAACGGGATCGGGCTCCAGGCTGACCCCAAAAACGGGACCGGGATCGGGGCTGCGGGTCCAGGGAGCCGGGATCCCTTTCCTGGGAAATTCCCTCCGGGATGGTCCCGGCTCAGTTCTCCTCCTTTTCCCTGCCGGGATTCCCACCTGGAATTGCCGGGATTGGGGGATTCCAGCCAGGGATCTGCTCGGATCCCAAAGATCCCAAGGGCTCGGGAAGGCTCTGCCGGGATTTTGTTCACTCCCAGTCTTGGGAATTCCTGGGATTTTGCTCATTCCCAGTCGCGGCTCCAGGCCATGATCCCGAATTCCCGGCTCATTATCCCAAATTCCCAGTTCAATATCCCGAATTCCCCGCCCATTATCCCAAATTCCCGGCTCATTATCCCAAATTCTCAGCCCAATATCCCAAATTCCAGGTCCATTATCCCAAATTCCAGGTCCATTATCCCGAATTTTGGCTCCATCTGGTCCCTTCCCAGCCTTTGTGTCCTTCCCATCTGTTATCCCAAAGCTTTTCCCGACCCGCTCCTCCTTTTCCATGAATTATTCGGGATCCAAATCCCAACCCTTTCATCCACCCAACCCCAAATCCCAAATTTCCCCCAATCCCAAATTCCCTCGATTCCCAGCATTTTCCCCTCTTTTTTTTTTTTTTTTTTTTTTTTTTTTTTGGTGGCTCCAATGAGGGAAAAAACCTTGAAATGAAAAAGTTTCCTTGGGAATTCCATGGATTTATTTATAATATTTACAAATCCCAGGGAAAAAAAAGAACTTTTTCCACTGGGACATTCCCAGACCCCCTGGAATTCCTCACAATTCCCAAAAAAACCCCTCCCCCTTTATCCTTCCTTTATCCGGATTTTGGGAAAAGCTCCACCCCGGGAAACAGGATGGATCCAACTGGGAACTCTTGGAAAATTTTGGGAATTTGCCACTCAGGGCACCAGGAATTCTGGGAATTTTTCACTCAGGGCATCGAATCCGAATGGGAAATTTTCACTCAGTGCACTGGATCCGAATGGGAATTTTGGGAATTTCCCACCCAGGACAGCGGATCCCACCTGGAATTCTGGGAATTCTCCCCCAGGGCATCAAATCCAAATGGGAATTTTGGGAATTTCCCCCCCCCAGGGCATTGATCCCACCCAGAATTCCGGGAATTTCCCCCCCAGGGCACCGATCCCACCCGGAATTCCGGCTTTCCCGGGAACACCTCTGGCATCTGCAGCGCCGGGAGCTCCGGGGGGGATTCCCGAGGCTTTTCCAGGCGTTTTTCCCGGGATTTTCAGTAGCCGGAGGGGCCGGGCGGGGCCGGGAGGCCGAAGAGCAGCGAGGCCTTGGAGCTGATGAGGAAGGTGCAGAGCAGGGACAGGAGCAGCACCAGCACGCCCAGCGCCAGCGTCAGCAGCTGGAAAACCGGGAAAACGGGAATTTGGGACGCTGGGATATTGGGAATTGGGGGTTCGGGGATTTGGGATCACCCCAGGGATCTCTGGGATGTGGATTTGGGATCTCCAGAATCCCTGGGATGAAGGTGCAGAGCAGGGACAGGAGCAGCACCAGCACGCCCAGCGCCAGCGTCAGCAGCTGGAATTCAACGGGAAAACGGGAATTCGGGACGCTGGGATCTTGGGAATTGGGGGTCCGGGGATTTGGGATCACCCCAGGGATCCCAGGGATGTGGATTTGGGATCTACAGGGTCCCTGGGATGAAGGGGCAGAGCAGGGACAGGAGCAGCACCGGGAGCTGGGAAAAATGGGGATTTGGGATAGTGGGATTGGGAATTTGGGGATATTGGGAATTGGGATATTGGGAATTTGGGATATTGGGGATTGGGGATATTGGGGATTTGGGATTTGGGGATTGGGATCAACCCAGGGTCCCTCCCTGTCCCACCCCTTGTGTCCCTCCCTGTCCCCACATCCCTGTCCCATCCCTGTCCCCATGTCCCTGTGTCCCTGCCCCTGTGTCCTCTCATGGTGTCCCTGTGTCCCCTCCCTGTGTCCCCTGTCCCCACATCCCTGTCCCCATGTCCCTGTGTCCCGTCCCTGTGTCCCCTGTCCCCACATCCCTGTCCCCATGTCCCTGTGTCCCGTCCCTGTGTCCCCTGTCCCCACATCCCTGTCCCCATGTCCCTGTGTCCCTGTCCGTGTCCCCCTGTCCCCACACCGCTGTCCCCGTGTCCCCCGGGGTGTCCCTGTCCCCACGTCCCAGTGTCCCTGTCCCCGTGTCCCCATCCCTGTCCCCACATCCCTGTCCCCATCCCCGTATCCCTGTCCCCGTGTCCCCTGGGTGTCCCTGTCCCCGTGTCCCCATCCCTGTCCCCACACCGCTGTCCCATCCCTGTGTCCCCATCCCTGTCCCCGTGTCCCCTCCCCGTGTCACCCCGGGTGTCCCTGTCCGTGTCACCTCCAGCTCCCTGCTGGCCACCAGGAAGATGCGCGCCCGGATGTCCTTCCAGCGGCTCTCGGTCCAGGTGGAGAATTCCCGGGAATCCCAGCGGCGCAGCTCGAAGGCCGGGGACAGCGCGGGGGACAGCCGGACGGCGGAGCGGACACAGCCGGGAATCCGGGACGAGGAATTCCCGTCCAGGGGGCCCTGCACCCACCAGTACTCGTACAGCTGGGGGCACAGGGAACGGGAATTACACAGGGAAAAACGGGAATGACAGTTGGGATAATGGGAATGACAGCTGGGGGAACGGGAATTACACAGGGAAGAACGGGAATGACAGCTGGGGGAACGGGAATTACACAGGGAAAAACGGGAATGACAGCTGGGGGAATGGGAATGACAGCTGGGGGCACAGGGAAACGGGAATTACACAGGGAAAAACAGGAATTACACAGGGAAAAACGGGAATGAGAGCTGGGATAACAAGAATTACAGCTAGGAAAAAAGGGAATTACACATGGGAAAACCCAAATCCCAT